TGAGCATTACTGGAATTGGAAACTGATTGTAATCCCTTACACTACTCAGCACTGAACTAAGTAATCACATTACTGGTGCACATCACAGAGTAATATATTACTTCCTGACAGTGGTCATAATGGTGACTTAGACTCTTCTTTTAAATCTCTGTACCTACTGAAACACTGAATCTCTTCATGTAAAGGAGGTCGTTACACCTGCACCAGGTGCTGCACGGGATCTAGTTTCTCTTCGATACTATATGATGTAGTATTCTTGATACTCTATACTGATTACTTAATTAATTCTTTGCAATTAACCCTTTATTCTCTGGGTTATTCTTTTGACAATTCTTGCTGAAAAAGACAAACAACAACTGTGACGCCGAACTAAGAAAATCTTGAGACACTTGCAGGAGTTTTTATATAAAAGTCTCTGTTTCCTCATCACTGCTCCATTTTAATAACAGATAAAACCTTGTCCTGGTGCAGAGACCTTTCAGGGTGGAGATTGTCTCTATTCATTGTCATCAGCCTGTGATCGGTGTGTTGATGGCTGCATGCAGGACAGATTTTCTCAAACTGATCTTTGGAGATCTACTGTGCAATAGAAACACAGTACCTATTAGCAGGACACAGTTTTGGTTTTAGCCTTTTATAAGATGTGTTCACAATAAGAAATGTGCATAAGATGCTGTTTACTAACCGTTTTTATAATATAAGTCGTACGTTTTCTCTCTGGTGAGTCCCTGTGAAGCTTCACAAAACGCCTCATGGATGCATTTGCAGTCGCTACAACGGATGAATGTTTCATTGTAATCAGGATCCTCTCTTAGGTTGCTGATTGCTGTTTATAACTCTCAGTTAACACTTGAGCAAACTCCTCGTCACAGAACATCAGTATTTACCGTGCGGCCCGCTCAGTGTTTAAAGATCAGGTGAGCCGACGGAGCTTCACTCTGTCTCTTATCGCGGGCTGCGCTGATTGACAGACGCTTTGTCTGAGGGGTGTGTTCAGACAGAAAGGCCTTTGAGATTGTGCCGGTTTGTGTGTCTGAGTGTGAGCGTGGCGTCTCGGCAGTTGCAGCTAACAGCAGCGCCCGAGGACAGAGAAAGAGAGGTTAGAGTACACCGCAGACCTGTCACCCCTCCGTCTATCTCTGCCCTCATCCTTTCATTCTCTTTGTAGTGTGTTTCCTGAGCGGCTTCACAAAGCAAACCTCCTCTTCCTCCTCCTCCTCCTCTTTTCCCTTTCTTATCCTTCTGTTCTTCTCTCCCTCTATTTTCCACATTCCTCTCCCTCTCTCAGGCCTCTTTTACTTTATTCCTGTTGTTGCTCTTTTACGTTCCACTATATTTCTTCTCTGCTCTCCGTTATCTGTTTTTCTTTCTTCGTTTTTGCCTGTCTTCATTTTTTCCCCCTTTATTCTCTTTCTATGCTTTCCTCTTTTTCATTATCGTCTCCCTCCTTCCTTCTGTTTACTCATTTCTCATTGTCTCTTCCTCGTCTTTTTCTTTCCTCTTTCTTGCCTTTGTGTTTATTTCCTGGTCCTCTTTTCTGACTTTAAATCCTTTCCTCCTCTCTTTCTCTTCCTTTCTTCTGTTCGTCCTCTTCCTCTTGTCTCTTTTTGTCCTCTTCTCTATTCATCTCCTTTTTGTTGTTTTTTCTTCTTTTCTTTTTCTCCTGTACTTCCCTCTTCTCTTTAATGCTTCCTCTTTTCCTTTCCTATTCTCTTCTTCACTTTTCTCCTCTCATCCCTCACTCCCACCCACCACTCCATCTCTTTCACTTCTTCCTTCCTCTTGTCCTTCCATTCCTTCCCTCCTTCCTTCCCTCTCCTGCCCTTCACCATCACTGGCGCCCCTGCAGATGGGAGTTAATTTTACACATTCCCCAGAAATAGGAAAGGAATGAGGGGGGAAAAAATTAGTGTCAGCAAAAGATTTATAAGACATAGAAAATCAAGAGCCGGCGATTCTCTCTGCTATGTTTGCGCTCCAGGGTCCTTTCTGTTCTCGCTATAGCGCACTATTTCTATCACTGCCTGATACCCCTCTTCCCAACACACACACACACACTCATACACTCCTCCCCCCAGGAGCCCGTCAGATGATAAAGAGATGTTGTCAGGGACTGATTATCAGTCTCCCAACTAAAAACAAGTAAAACATCAAACGCACAAAGACCACACAGGGACTTGGCCTTATTTTTTTTCCCTTAATTTCTCCTCCATACGTCTCCTTCCTTCCCGCTCTCTTCATTTTGTCTGTGCTGGTGTCAGAAGTAGTGTGTGTTTTTTCGCCTGCTGGGGAGCTATTTGATTTGTTCTGCTGTTTTAGAGCTCATATTGTTTCTGGTGTGTTGTTTTTATTATGACGGCTTTATTCATATCGGTGCCTGTGGCAGCTCGGGTCCCGGTCCTGAGTCACCGGGGAGGGAGATAGGGACAGGGATAGAGCAATAAAGCAAGAAAGAGCTGCATCGGCTCAATACGTGGCAGGCGGTGCATGTGCACGGATGTGTGTGTGCGTGGACGTGTGCGCTGCATGTGGGGCTGTGCTGACGTGGGTGGGAAGTGCAAGACTCAAATTATAACAAAAAGCTTTGCCCAATTTTCTTTGCAATCTCTCTGCCTGATGCCTGCGCGTGCACAAACACACACATCGCATAGTTGGCACTTGATGTTCATCAAACAATGAGAGACAAGTGTGTAATTTATCATTCACCATGGCTGCAGAGTGGGGACAGCGGCGGAGAGACGAGGATCGCTCCATTCATCACTGTGATAAAGTTTGACTGGCGCGCCGTATATCAACGCCCCTTCCCCCCTTCAGTCACTGTTAGGATGACCTGAACACAGGTAAGTCGCAACCAGTGGGGCAAATCATCATCCATCACTAAGTTACAAATAAAAATAAAATACATGTTCTGACTGAGGCCGTGGGGCATTTCTGCATATGTGGGGGCTGTCTCATTATCTGTTTTCACACACTCTAGGTTTGAAAATCACAATTAACACAATGAATTTGCTCGCAGTGTGGAAGCGAGCGTGGTGTGGCTGCTAACAGCAGCGAGCTAACTGAGCTAGCAGACTGTGCTAGAAGTCAGAAATAACGACCTGCATCATGAAAGTAACTGTTTTGAATGAACCTTTCTAACCTTTACATCATACGTTGCATTCGTTTGTACATTAAAAGTACAGCAATCGGTTCTCCTAAGGTGATCATTTCTGTAAGATATGGGCCCTTTTTCATGCATGGGATGTGCAACATTGCTGCTTAATCAATCCGTTAAAGTGTTATTCAGACATAGGTCACTTTAAATGAATGCTCCTTACAGCTTTATTCAGACATACACACCACAGTGACAAAGAGAGCCACAGTACGCACACCATATTTGTCATACAGGCAAGACTGGACAGCGTAGGAAGTGATAAATAATGCATAAAAATGCACTAATAAGCAAATGTTAAATAATAGTAAACTTTTCAAACTGTCCAAATAACTACTCGTCTAGTTTAGTGTGATTTCTTAAACAATGAAAATTCTGTCCACGTGTGATGATCATCCAACTGCTTGCTGTTAGATACTGATCGATCCTTTCGCCAAATTGCATATAATGAATCAAGTTACTGCTGTTGTTCCATGTGTGCTGCAGGTATTTAATAAACTCAGAGAAAAGACTCCTACAACGAGCTGAAACAAACTAGGTCCTGTTCACATTTTTTTATGGACATTTCAGTTTGTAATAGATGTAAAACTGTAAAGTGAATCTGTGAAACTGTGTTTGTTTGCTCTCTGCGTTGTTTTTGCTGCTCAAATGTGGGAAAAGCCTTCAACACATCACAATGCTGGAAGCACCAGGACTCCGCACACAGTTCAGACTTGAGCATGATACAGAAATGTTACGGTGTTGGATCTAATAAGACCATTCAAACACAAAGCCAGCATGTGCAGGTGCCATCAGAATCATGGGAAAGAGTGCATGTTTGAAAGAGGCGATATTCAGGACTTTGGAATTTAAATACAAAGCTGAAGTCACCAATAGTTAACGAGCCTGTGTTAGTATTTAACTTCTGCACATGAAAGTAGCCGATGTTTCAGCAAGGAATAAACAAAAAATGTGTATATTTAAATGGAAAAAAATGAGGAAGTACTACAGTAGCTGTGTTTGTCTGTCTGCTAACACATTAGCTGGACTGTGTGTGGTACGGTTGAAGTGGTTCGTGAATGGCAGGAGAACGTAAGCTACCGTTAACAGACATCAGTTCAGGATTATTTACCACCGTGCTAAACCAGACACTGACTGTGGAAGCTTTGCACCTCCTTCATTCATATTTGCATTTAGTTTATTCTTAATATTGTGTTTTATTTACCTTCCACTGCCAGCAAAGGCGGCAGCCATTTTGGCACATCTTGTTTCGATCGGGGACGCTCCTTTTTGAGGAGCAGTCTGAAATTCAGATCTCCAATTCATAACTACAGCTAATGTGAGGAGCTGCTTGGAGCTACTGTCTGAGCAATATGTACAAATCCAACACAGTTAAAAAGCCACTTCATGATTTTCTCTCTGGACAAGTAAGAGCTACATTACGCTCACTGGTCGACGGCAGCACGTGAACACCCAACCACAACCGGGTCTCCTGTGTTCACCGGACAGCAACGCCCCACTGCAGCTCCAGTCAGACCACACGAAACAAAGTGCTATTTTCCAAAGAAGGGAGGGAAGGATGAAAGCAAGGACAGACAACAGGGCTCGAAGGGATGCTACTGACAAAAGGTGAAGTCCATTTCTTCACTATGTTTCTTATAATTTTACAGCAATCAGTCCAGGATTGTTGGCAGGTCCATTATACGTGAGTGTGTGCATGTGAGTGTGCATGTGTGTGTGTGTCTTCTCTGTATCCTCTGTTCTACCCCCAGCTGAGAGATAGGAGCAGCAGGAGCAGTAGTAAGGGCTTGGCAGGGGCTGTGGTGAGAGGCGCTGCCCCCCCAGTCCCAGACGAGCCCAGGTTGGAGACGGTGGCCCTCTCAGAGTAGAGCGGGATGACATCAAACTGACCGCCTTCATCAACCTCCTCCTTCTCTATCTGCGTCACTTCCTCCTCTTCCTCGCTCTCCATCACCTGTCACAGAACAGACGGTGTGAGTGTTGTCAGATTACAGGAGGCCTGAGACGATGGGTGAGATTAGTCTCAAATTATTTACAGAGTTTAACAAATGTATTAGACCCCCACCCAGCGTCAGGTTTATGTCCTAAACTAACAGCTTTGGTAATTATCAAAATCATTTCTTATGTTTCTGTCATGGTTAATACACCAGCATGTAGAAGCTCTTTAACCCAAATGATGTTTTTAATGCTAAAATATAATTACTATTGTTATCCAGGAGTTTTCAAATTGACTGAAAAACAGAAAAAATAGTAAAGCACATGATTATTTCTTGATGAAGATGTCAAACTATAGTTAATTACTTGCATTCCTGAACAGAAAAAAATGTTTCAGTGGTTGAATGTTTGATGATTCATTTGTGACTCCTCAGAGAAGCCCAGTGGCTCAGGTTTGGGTGTAAAACGGTGAATTCAGTTTAAAATTCCTCATTCCTGTTCAAAATGGTAAAACTTTGAGACCTGAGTGTGGATTAAAGCACCTGATGATGCTGCATGGTCTGTACAATGCTTAAAATATTAGACAGGTGGTCTACAGTTTCATAATTTCATCTTAACGCAACGGTAATTTAATTATGGTCAGGTGGTCTAATAAACGTGTTAAGCACTGTAGCTGGAATGGGTTTTTGGTTCTGACTCCTTTTGATCGGAGCGCTGATGAATATGAGTCAGTGCAGTGTTACGGGTGGTGTTACTATTGAGGACGCCCAGCTGTTCACTTTCAATGATATGCATCAACATCTGGAGGAGCCCAAGGCACATGCTAGCTTATTGTGTGCAGATTGTTGTTCTACTGATAATAATATGCCGCTCCATCATTTCACTGCCTCTGATACCTTCCTGTTCCATGCAGTTTGCGTTTCTTTTTTTGACTGGCATCGCTTGACTCATTTTTAACTTTTCATCATCTCGTCTGACAGCTGCAGAAGGTGTAAACAGGGCTGTAAGCCTCAGGGCGCAGAAATGGATCATTGTTTGGTTCTTCCCGCTGTTTAAAAGTTACATGAAAATATACGTGTTTAGTAGTCATGAAACCAATTGGAAAACATTAATCCTGGCCATCTGAGGGAGCACTGTCTTCCTTGGCTTAAACTTCTCTCCAGTCGACGCGGTTATTTTTAGTCGCCGTCTTTTATTGAGAGTTTTGTGACCTTTCCTTTGATCTGCTACTTTTATAACTTATTGGTGAGGGACAGAGAAAGCCTGAAGAACTTTGTTAATATTTCTTTTGAAGATAATTGAAGTGAAAAAGACAGGCTTGGGATCTTTTTAGGACCAGCACATGCCCAGAGTTTTTTTTCACTCTCTGATTAAAAAATGATATATGATATCTGTACCATTTGACCAGAAAGAGAAATCCAACCAGGATATTATGAAGTCACCTGAGTCCACCTCTCCCTGCTATCTCAAGCTGCATATCAAACAGCTACAGATACCACATTCCCATGCAAAAGAAAATAACTGACTAGTCAAAACTCCTGAAGCAGTATTGAGTGTGGCCAATATGTCAAAATAACCTCACATGGGGTGTGTTTGAAAGAACTGTTTTGGACAAAGTGTCACATCTGACGGCAAAAACAGCTTCACAGCATCACAGGTGAAACGCTAACGATGTCGTAGTGATGAACTGAAAAGGTGTCGCGTCAAAGATATGGAGCCACGTCAAGAACTTTAAAAAGAGCTACTTTCACAATTTCACTAGATGGGTGTGATCGCTGTTTGGAAA